AGTATGTTGAGAAGGTAATTGCCCAGGGTGCTATAGGAGCACTTTTTGAAATTCTGTTTTTGCACAAGTTTGATGATGGGTTGAAGTGCGCACTTTTTTTGTTCTACTTCGCGATTTTCTTAAAAAGAACCTAGTGAAAAAAATTAAAAAGTGGCTCTATAGCACCCTGTGGGGTTTTGTTTTCAGCACACTGAGAAAATTTCATCCAAAAATATCAAAAAATAAAGCAATTACGAAGAGCACAAACCTCTACAAATCATATTTTGGACGAATTTTGTCTACTGTTTCGTGCTGCCAACCCAAGCGTTGCGGCGCAATGTACGGACTAAGAAAGGACGTATTCAGATAACTTGGTGGCCCTATTTCATATAATATCGCGTAGATAAGTCGTTCTGCAAATAGGTACTCATAATCGCGATTGCTGATACTCCTCGATTTTAAAGCCGTTTTACTTCACACGCTATTGGCGAGGAAGTATTGTAATCGCGGAAAATTTCTAAAATGAGACGTTGTTTCTTTAAGTCATATGACATCTACATCACGAAAAACTGTATTACTCATCATCAACTTAGAAATTACCGCTCGGATTTTTATGAAATTTCCACACGGGGTTACTAGTATGCCAAAGCTTTGTAGTTTTAGTCCAGTGGCAACGGTGCTATAGGCAAAAAAGAAAAAGTAACAATTGCTGAAACTCCGTTTTTGACGTTTCAGGGGTTCCTAATCGTTGACATAAAAGAATTGTACTGCTTAAAAAGGGGGGGTTGAAATCAGTCAAACACATTCTATTACTGATCCCAGTAATTACAGGAAATTTACGTAACGAAAATCCGACGAATAATGTGCTCACAATTTAAAAAAATCGGTACCTGCTCTATAGGTTTTTAGCAGGCTGCAAGAGTTTCATTTGGAAATAATAAAAATGCAACGTAGGCTGTGAAGTGCAAATCGGTTTTTGGGCGAAATTCATCTACTGTTTCGTCCTGCCAGTCCAAGCGACGCGACGATGCGTTCCGACCAAGAACAAATGTATTCAAATAATATTATATCTTTCTAAAATAAATTCAAGAACTCAAATTCAAATTCGTTTATTCATGTCAATAAACACAATTATGTTTACAAAGGTCATGTGGTAGATGGTAACAATTGAACGATTGTCATAAAAATATCTTATGCGGTCAAAATAAGAGGAAACAGTTAGGTAGTTTTTGCAAAGCGATAAACAGGTAGGCTTATACCTGGATTAAGTACATGTCTTGTCTACTGTAATAGGTAGATGGAGGTTGTGCTGCCAGAAATGGATGTGTGCGATCAATAAACAAACCACAAGATTGAAGTGCCGTGTCCCATGATTTTTGTATTGCCTTTTTTTATTGTCTTATTAGAAAACTCTGTTGGATATATGATGGTGTTTACTAGAACTTTACGGCTTGCTGTCTGCCTTCTTCTACAAACTTCACCAAATCGAGACGCTGTTAACCTCATCCTCCGATGAAGACGCCACAAAGTACAGTCCTGTGACTTGGTGACTTGTTCGATCTGCAAAATCTCGTCGTCACTTTTTCTAAGTTTCCCTAAAAATTCTTGCTTATCAACCTTCAAATCAATGTCGTTCATGGCAGGTTTTTGACAGAATTCGCCATAAAACTATTCATTTTCTTTGGAATTGCTATCCGAATTATTGGTTATTTTTATACCAGCTTTTTTTTGGTCTGAGTTTCTTTTCAAGATTCTTGCGTTTGAGTCTTTGTTCCATCTTAGTGATATGCGAGGTTGGACTAAGCTTAGAACGCAAATTTATTTGGACCACATACACAGGCCGCTGGGTATTGTGGCTCACTACAGCTGCAGCACATCTTCCATTCCAGGACCTATTCTTGCAATAATTTATTCGCTTACCTCAATGTATTTTGCGATTATAGAGTTGAACTGCTCCACACTATTGTTGTCCTCATCATGAATTAAACTCACTGCATTCATAATTAAAATTGTCGCATATTACCTTTTATTGTCCATTATCAACCTTGATAAAAAAGGCACTCAAGAACAATCGCACCAACAAGAGTATAGCACAACAATTCAACAACACAATATCGACGAACAATAACAAGGGTAGAACAATACTAAATGATCACTTGCTGAGTACCAAAATAGGAAGCGATTTACAGGCTAGATTGCTAATCGAAATCCGACTCTGTTATTATAAAAATTTACCTCGGTACGCACCCGCAGTCATCCTTTCCTCTTTTAAAGTAGCGCCGACGAGCGTCTAAGACCAGCCCACCCTCGTTTCCTTTTCAATTATGCTTGCAACTACAACGCAAAGCTTAATTTACCTATTTTCTTTCACCTCAACGTAATATGACTAAAAAGGCAAACTGAGTGATATAATCACATGTATTTCAATTTTTTTTTCGATTGGAACCATTTTTTTCTCTGTACGAATATTACATTTTATCCCAGTCAGTTTAGCATCAGTCTGAAGTATTCGTATTCCTGAAAGGCATTTGAACAGTTGGATGAAATGGCTAAACTTGGTTGTTGTCATTATGCACGGTTTTTGTGTCACAAAAAAATGTTCAGGATGGAACTAACCAAAATGGACATTTTCAGTAACTCAAGAAGATCGAATCCACAGTGACCTCCAACTACATCTTCCATCTATAAAACATCGGTACGCTTCCGCAATGATCCTGCGAGGTCTCTCATTGATTGTTGTTTCTCCATTGCACATAACCGACAGGGCTGTAAAGAAATTGAGGCATCACAAGCTTTCTGTAAACCTAGTAGTTTCCACGGGGAGAAAGATTCTCGGGGCGCGATTCGTTATGCAACCAAAACAATGATCATAAACTCTCATCTTAACTATGTAAAACGGTTTACTCAAAAAATAATTGGACCACAGTTGCAAACCAATGTCAAATTCCCAATGTCTCTCTCAATCAAGGGCGGATCCAGGATTTCGTCTAGGGGGGGGGCGCAAACGATATTTGGGGCTGGTCATTTTTTTAACTCAGTGGAACTTCTAGAATTTATTCTATTATTGCTCCTTAAATCCATTGTGTTCTATCTGGTCAAGGCCAGCTTGAAAAAAAACATGGAAAATGCTCAGAAATCCTCAGAAAGCCAATATTTTATTATATGAGAACAAAAAAAGTACGTGTCATTCATAATTAACTAGTGCAATAATATTAGAGATTGAAACATAAAAAACTTCATTGCTCTGTTAACCGAACAAAAACAAATAAAACATTCTAAGGGACCCCGAGGCATATCCCAGTCCATTCCACACAAAACAACGTCTTTGATTGCGAAAACGAACTTGAGACCAAAAAATTGACATTATTGTATGGACGCTAGACAAGACAAAGAAGAATGTATAGACCATCTATAGATCGTGTCTTGAGACCACCTAAAGACTGCCTATAGACAAATTGCGCAACGGGGTCTACTAGTATGTACTAAGCTTAAGGATTAAGATTCTGAACTGCCCATTAAACAAATCAAGTAAATGGTGCAAATACTGATACACTCAAGCACTTCTATTATAGACCGAGAGCTGGCTACATAGGGCAACGGGTCACTCGGTAAAGTCTAAATTTTGTCAGTTAGAGGCTCGGCTGTTACCGACATAGCAAGGGGCAGGCTGTCAGAAGTCAGCCTGGAAGTAATAAGTGAGGGTAGGGGGTTAAACATGCAATTTTTTCATGAACATTTTTTGATTAGGTAGAGAGCTGAAAATGTGCACCAGCATAGGAGATGCTATTAGAAAGTATGGAAAAAATTGTTAGATTTACGGCATAGTTTGTTGTTTTCTCAGTTTTCGAACCGGTGTTGATCGCAGGTAGAAATGTTGGAAACCCTTGGAAAAAACTATATCTGTTAGATCCTAATTATTTTGATAATGTGTGTTTGTACTAAACAAGTACAAGAATACAGGACTGTACATGTTCACGTATAGTGCAGCAGCTCTCTGATTTAAACGAATTCAACATAGCAACATAAATAGACATACGCGAGAAGGGATGCGGGACGTGTGATATTGACTTTGAGCATCGATCTACGCAGTTTCTAGACAGGCACAGGTGCACCGCTAAACAAATCTCATAAATGTCCATTTCCAGTTTAGGCCTTCATCTAACATAGTGCTTCGCTGCAACACCAACCCCGAACAAAATCAGTCAAGCTTTACACACTTTTCAAATTACTGTTGAGCAACAACCCGAACATAAATCACTTTTTAAGTGCAATCTGTATTGCTAATATATTACCCAGATTTGTCACAAGTCACAATACTCGTATATACGTATAAATCTTAAGAATTGTGCTGCAAACAAGTGATGTCAAAGAGGGTCAGCATTTGGAATACCAAAGGATACAAAAAAATCGCATTCCTCAGTTCCTATAGCTATAACTTATAGTCAGTATGCCTCTGTTGCTGTGATGTGTCAGAAAGTGGCACAATGGTGTTAGATTACAAAAACAAGTGTCAGACCTCTAGGGGGGGCGCCCCGCCCAAATACAACCTTTGGGACGACTTGAAAGCTATTTTAATTTTTACTCGTAACACCTTTGTCATTTAAATGCTTGTTAAAATCAATAGCATTACCTAATATGACCCCACATGGATTTACCTGTTGTAGTACCCTTGCTGCCCCTCGCACTTCAATAAGTTTTGAGAATAGTTAGGTACAGGTTTATAGAAAATTATCCCTTGCGTATGATCCACCCCACCTCTGACACCGAAAACTTCCTGCGGGCGCCCATGGTCAATATGTGACAATTCATATTATTCAATCCAAGCGTTTATGTTTTTTTTTGTAAAAATCTATACTTTATAATATATATATATATATATATATATATATATATATATAAATCATTATTAGATGCTCATGCCTGAAATATGTATAATTGTATTGCTGAGCGTTATTAGTAAATTTTTTAATCACTGTGTGCAGCGTGAAATGCATTTTACCTGCCACTTCTTATCGTGTTGACGATTTTCTGCAATAATGGGTGCAAAATCATTATTAAAATTTTCATATTATTCCATTTTATCAGCGTTCCTGCGGTACAATTCTATTGTTATGATTCAGAGTTAGAAATTAGTGTATTGCACGATGGGTCACACTCATTCGTTGTAGAAGATATATGCGTTAGAGAAAATACAAAAATGAATTTTTTGTGGCAATTTGGTGGTAGGAGAATTGTCCAGTATGTGACGTCCGTGTCAGGTATGTGATACTTTTGTTTTGGTTTGAAACAAATATGTCATTTTTATTCCAAAAACAACTTATCTAGCCCATTAGGTCCGTTTTATATATTTGTAGATACATTAGAATTTTTGCAAATTGTATTATTCCTCAAGAAATGGTTTTTAGATAGTAACCACTTTATAGGGTATACTATTATTTGTCATTAGAATTCAAAGGGTCCCTAAGATATTATTCCGTCTATCTCAATTTCTACAGTGAGACAATTTTTAATCAAACCAATCAAAATTTTAATTAGGCCAATTAAAAAATCAGTCGACTATGTGACAGCTAACTAGTTTAATTAGTTTAGTTGAACTCCAGTGTCTTAAACAGTTTACTTGAATCTATGAATCTAGTGAAATTAACACAAAACGTAATCGTTTAACTAAATTTATTTAAAATCAATGAGCTACAAAAATGAGTTAATCAACAAGTAAAACGTTTTAAATATATTTATTAAATGAGCTTGATAAGTTTCGGTAAAAGTATTTGCCTGGTCTTAGTGAATTATTTTATTTAGCTTTGAAAGTATATTTAGATAATATGTGTTATTTACAAGATTGAGCTGTACTTTACTAAATATTATAACTGTACTTATTCGTCTGATTGCTCCAAGATAGATTATACTATATCAGCATTCACAAGAAGCAATTCTTTGTTCTAAAGTCAAAAAGTAGGGAAAGGGATACACTGGATCATGTGCACAAGAATTACTTTTATTTCTAATAATAAAACAATATTGCACTTGTCCGCATGTACATATATATATATATATATCCTTTAATTTCTTTGGGTAGAAGGCAAAGTATTGCAAAAGTACACTCTTATAACTTAAACTCTCAAGCTTTCGAAGATCTGTGTCTTCATCGTCTGGAGCTGGAAACAATTATTAACAATAGCAACAAATAGCAATTAGGAGAAAAATATTTACTTACTAAGTCGGCGAGATTGATGCTGAAATTGTTTTTAAAACAACAGTGAAGGGAACACATAGTCGACGAATAAAAAACTGCACTGATGAGGTTCGATTAGGACGGAATTATTTTATTATTAAATGGCAAATCATTTTGAAAGGTTTTTTATTTTTTCTAAAAATAAGCGTTGATTGATTTTGGAAGAAATTTGGAAATTTTAAAACTATCAACTATTGAAAATTTCCCCGAGATTTCACCTTTTTTTCCTGATAACCTCCACATTATCCAACACGTGCCGATTGACATTCTACAGCGGCGTATGAAGTGTGACATTGAAAATTATTTTAAGGTCACCCATTATGTCGTTCTGTGAAGTGTGTTGCCTAATAGTATGGCGTTTTGTAATAAGTGAAAGAGGTTGCGCTATTGTTGACCGATAAAGTACGAAGAAATTTTCACAAGCCGATAGAAGTTGCATTGGAAGGAGTGTGGTTTGGATGTTATCCTACCAAACAACTAAAAATACGTAGGAAATATTCACACTTGAGGACAAAAACTTTGAGCAATTTTAATTTGATCTTATTAAGATAGTGAAAAATTATTTTGTGTAGATTGAGCGATTATTGGGACAAATCGATGTTGGGGGAGATGTGTTGCTTTTCCAATTTTTCGCAGTTCAGCAAATATGCGTAGACGACGCTAAGTTGATTGACATCCGCCTTTTTGATCAAAGGTTACTCGTTTCACTAGTAACTAGACTAGCTAGCCAAAAAATCTGTTTATAACTGTTTAGAAAAAAAAGCAATAATCTTTTTTATAACGGAATTATATTCCTGGGGGTATATGAAAAGGTTCCTCATTGATAGATACAGAAATTTTTGTTTTAACTTTTTTATTAAACGTGAAGGTTGAAAAAATACTTTTCACTGTATATTCCAATAATTGTGAATTATTGGTATAACTGGTCCAAAAGAAGTTGTAGGGGATGATAATGCTTTCAGAATGAGAACTTACTTGGCTAATTTGCTATATCAGTCAATCTGTTAATATTAAAAAACGTCAAATATCGTTAATTTGACATTTGTTTTTCACCGAAAAACGCATAAATAATAGACCAAAGTCAAAGCCTTTGTTGTGTTTAACATCCAAAAATAATTTTATCGAGAAGTGCTCAACTTTTTCTGCAATCTTCTAATTGCTATTTTTTCTTTTTTTGAGAAATATGGAGGTGTCCAGTGGCCTCATATTGGACTCATTCTCTTGCTAGAAACCTAGTTTCGCATCGTATTGTAAGCCCTATTACTATTCGATTTTCTTAAATTCGTCATGCAAAAAAGCGTCAGCAAGAGTACATCTATTTCTACCTTTATAAACAATTTGAATAAGTCTGCTGACAGGCGTAATTAGGATGCTCATCACTCAAAAGTTTCAGCTCTGTTGTACGTAGTTGAGTGTTTGAGAGTCATTTAACTGAATTATTGTGTACGACAACACTATTTTCATATTATTACTAACAACTGTAGTTTCTAATTGAATTAGGCACAGGGTAACGTCTGGCAGTTGGTCTTTCTGCTTGATTGAAAGGAACTTTCGCACAGTCGCCTTACACCACTTACGTGCTAGGATGAAACGATTGTAGCTGACTCAAAGGCTACTGCGGAAGTGCTTGCCAATATCTTGGCTGCCAACTCCACCGTGGACGGTCCCCCAACGCCCGAGTTCCGTCGATTCAAAGGGATCCCTACACTATGCCGGAAGTAACATTCAGGCATAAAACTTCTTCCAAGCTTGGCTCCTGCTGTTGTATTGAAGATGTGTGCAGCGGAGCTTGCTCCATTCCTTTCGCATCTCTTCTAGACATATTACGAATGCGGCACTCTTACAGGAAGCTGGAAATTTGCTCATGTCCAACACATCCCAAAAAAAGATTCAAGACCGACCCTTACCACTACAGGCCTATAGCTCTGTTTTCTGTAAGGAAGGTGATGGCGAGGTACATTGATCGGGAGCTTCTGTAGTACCTCGAACATCACGGATTGATTAGCGACATGCAGTATGCTTTCCGTCACCAGCGATCCACATGCGACCCCGTACCTTACGTCACGCGATTGTACAGTAAACTCGGCCAGACCTATGATGAGGCTCATGTCGTCTTGATATCAGGAAAGCGTTCAATCAGCTGCGGCTTGCTTCCCTCCTGTGCAAACTTCCACCCTTGGTCCTACCAGAGTTTTTCAGATGAGTGGCTGAGTGTCTCTCTGGCCGCAGGCTATTCGTCGTAATTAACGGGTTCTCTTCTTATTCCCACAACGTCATCGCAGGTGTTCCTTAGGGATCAGTTTTGTCTACGTTATTGTTCCCCTTACGTATAGTCAAAATCACGAAAGATGACTATTACGTCATACCATAAATTGTACTGAAGTAATCGATGGACGTACGTACGTACGAATAAAATCACGTTGTCAGGAACATAATGACAACAAATTTATATTATGATTTTGCGAAGTTCTGTTATTTCGCTGATTATTTGTATTTTCATTTGATTTCATGGTTTTGAGTGATACCTTAAAATTAATTTTAGTGCAGAATTTTTGTTTTGAAAAAAAAAACAGTTAAGAGTAGAATACCTTAAGACAGGAACACCAAAGACCAAAGTATTTTTCGAAAACAACCTAACCTGCTTTAACATAACCTAACTATTCATCTTTCAAATATGATCGATCATGCAACATGAAAACATCGTCTATCTTTGTCGGATACATGCAAATTAGCAATACAGTTTGTTTTGACAATAAAATTTTGTTTGTCTCTGTCTAACATATCTGAAACTCCATTCAAAATATTCACAAATCGCTGTCGTTTGTCTTTACTACAGATTAAAATGATGACGCAATCGTCATCTTTCATGATTTCGACAATATATCGGCCTTCTATCCCGTACGGTGAATCCATTCGACAGCAGCTTTGCTGATGGCATGCAGGAATTCATAGTGACAAGCCGATCTCAGCTGTCGAGAGTCCTGGAGGTTATCACTGCAACAATCTGATACCGTTTAATGCTTCCTAAGCACAATACCGTACCTTGATGGACAAAAAGCGTATTAAACTAGTCATTCATCTCGGAGGTCACCGAGGACATGATCTGTCACGAACACATCTCGTCAATACAGGCATCTGCTGGAAAAAAGCTTTGTTTAGGGCTAAGAAGTTCTTTTCTTCACATGACCTCTTTACTCTGTACAAGGTCCAGGTCGATCGATGACTCTTCTCTAACGGACAGTCTCGGGACGCTTTCAAACCGGCGGGCCGTCGGCGGTCCAGCTCTCTTCTACCGCTACGCCAATGGGATTTGCTCCTCAGAGCTCTCGTTTATGATGCCGCCACGTGATGTGTCTGCCAGACAAACCCGCCTGACTTCGGCCTCCCATCCATGAGGAGGCTTTTACCAGTTCCACTAACCTTGGGCATTTCAAAAATCGGATTAACAAAGTTTCTCTAAGCTCCTCAAGGCAGCCGCGGTGCCCTGGCTGCTTGGGTGCCAACTCAACCACTCAAGTTTTTACCAATATGCTTGTTACCTAATGAAAATGCTTCAGTAAGTAACGGTAGTTGAGTATTCTAGGTATAGGAACATGTCGTAAGTCTGTATTGTTTCCTTTTCGTGTTTATATCAATTTTAAATTCACTATCTATAAATATACGATAACAGATGCCTTATCCACTTTGCAGTATATCACTAAAGAGTTTTTTATGTTTACTACCAAAGCGATTGACTCTTTTCTGCGCATGTGCATGACCAAGAAGAACAGCTTTCTTGTAATTATTATTCTTTAGGCAATAAAATATATGCAACTCGTCAACTTATATCACTAATAAATAAAAATATATAAAACACACAGGATAACAATAAATTACTATAAACAAACACATTCTTCTTCTTCTTCCTACTTTATTAATAGGCTCATGCCTGTTTTACTTCGGCTTTTAGCCTCAATTGATGTTGTCTCACCATCTTTTCCTCGGTTGTCCCATTGATCTTCCATTTGGCAATTTGTCTCTCGCTATTCGTACTGTTCTATTTTCGGTCATTATTTCTATGTGTTGATTTCATTCTATTTTTCTTCTTATGGTCCACAGGTTTATTCCCTCTATACCACATCTCGCTCGTATTTCCTCACTTCTTACTCTGTCTCTTAGAGTTTGGTTTGTTATTTTTTTGTAAGACTTTCATTTCTGCTGTTTCCAATAATCTTTGTGTTTCCGCCGTATCTGCTCTTGTTTCTGCTGTGTATGTCATTATCGGTCTTATTGTTGATTTATATATCCTAGTTTTCGTTTCCGTTGTGAGGTATTTGTTTCTCCAGATTGTATTGTTGAGACATCTTGCTGCACATTCTGAGACGACGTATTAACATTTAGATACAAGGAGTTCTATAAAATTAGTTTCAAATTAACACTGAAGCATTCATTAATATCATTTGGTAGCTTGTTAAATATTCTAGGTCCCAGTACGGGCGATTTTATACCAACACTGCATTTGGCAAAAGCCACATTCAACTCACTAACCTATTTGGCTGTATACACAATTTATCAATGAAACAAACTTCTCCATTATTAAAGACATGCATTGAGAGTTTATACAAAAACAATGGGGGTAGCTTTGAAATTAAGTCGTTTAAAAATATGGGATAATGACACCCACAATACATCTAATTGGGTCAAAAATACCTGCTGAGCGCTAGTTAACACGTCCCAGAAACACAAACCGTATCTTAGGGCCGTATCGTCAGTTGTTCCTACGCTTGTAGCATGCCTTTATGGAATTCTTGATTTTATGGTATTTTCTCTCCTTCAGAAAGGCAGGGGTATTTCTAGATTTCTGCCGTTCCAGATCAGCGTCAACGCCCTCCTATTGAGAGGCTATGTTTCTTTTTGAATTGTAGGAAATTTCTGGCTAATATAACAGATGATATAAATGAGGAGCATGAACCATTTGATTCCAATTGATATTTGTAATATAACCTCAAAATAGCGTGCTGACACGGAACAGTAGAAAACTATGAAAATTGAGGAGGCTATAAAGGCATCCTACAATAATTGTAGGAACGATAACATAAGTTTTCAAATTTATTTTTGAGACTAGACTCTCACAATGTTCTATAAAATTCAGGCCTACGTTTAATTCCAAAAACTTTACTTTTGTTCCAACTGGTATTTTTAAGCTGTTTACAATGATGTTAATTTTTTCTGTATTTTTCTGAACGTTACGAAACCTCATTAAAAACGTTTTTACTGAATTCAAATACAATTGATGACTGACGAACCACCTACGAATATCTTAAAAAAAATGTTCGCGGTCCTCCTCAATGTACGCAGTTCCTCCTCAATGTAGTTTCACAATTGTTCGATATAACAACAGAAGTGTCATCCGCATAAAGAGAGATTACAGATTTTTTGGGCGTGCCCAGATTATTATTGGATATACACATACTGAGACATGCTCTATAAATACGATTTTATCCAGAAAAACGATGACCATTTATGCACATTTTGATAGCTTGGCCAACAGCCAAAATAAATTTTGGTAACTGGTAAACACATAAGCACGTTGATTCTCCTACAACCAATTGCCAATTATTCTGTCGATCCATGGTTTGGATGTAAAACGGGGAATTCGACTTTCCCCATTTCACGAGTATCCGTCAAGCTTTGACGTCTTCTGAGGTGAACAGCTGATCAGCAAGTGACATTTTTGTGTTAGTCTTCAACTTAGCCTATAATGATTTTCGTGTAAATCTAGCAAAAATTTGTTTGTAATGTTTTGTTTTTTGTATGCAAATGAACATTTCTAAATAAAATAGCTTTTGGCAAGAACAAATTGAATCTGTAGCCAAAACAAAAAAAACAAAATAAAATATGGTTCTGTCCACCTGGCATCCACGGATCTGTCAGAATTATATGTCCTTTGCCGATATGGGGAACTTTGGAATGTTACTAGATAACCAGCTGTCATTCTACCGTGGTGGATACCCATGAAATAGGGTATATTCGCTTTGCTCGGGTTTCCCCTATGTATCTTAAAAATACTCCGACATGCAAAATTAAGACATGACATGTTAATAGGCCAATAATATGTGTAATTTTCAATAATAGTCAATGCAAAATATTATTAATACGATTCTTTTGCTTAAGTTACATACCACTGACCTCATTTCTTGCTAAATCTAAATCAACGACCATAACAGTTTTCCGGGACTTTTTCCTGATTATTACGTATACTGTGAAGGTTATACAAAATGTCAATCTTTGAGAACCCAAACCCCACGTTAAACTCATCTCTAAATCTGGTTTATTTATCAGTGACACAGTATTTGTTGTTTCTTGAAAAATTCAAATTTTGGGACGAGGTTTTTGTACTGAGCGATTCCATTCAGAGTCATATAAAAATAAACCCATTTCTCAGCGTAGGCTACCAGCCTAGCATCGCGGCGTTTGCTGTGTCGTATAACCGTAATACTCGTTACTTGGCTTAAATATTTGAACTTCTACAACCATTCTAGATCTCATTAAAAATATTGCGATATATTTGATTATAATTATTGACTTGATTATCTCCAAATCAGGCACACTTAGGAGACTTTTATGAGTGGATCTATTCAGATTGAATTGCTATGAAACCCATATGACATATCATCGATTGAAAAAAAGACTTTTAGCAATCTTAGAAAAAACGTATTTCCTTAACAACATGATTTTTCACAGCGACGCTATGTATCCTGTCCTCAGAAATGCATTTTGGCTGGACTTCTCCATCACTTCCACAACTAACTAGCGGTCAGTATTCCTTCACCATCAATCAAGATGAGGCTTCTTGGTTAGCTGTGATATTGTTAGCAGGAACGGTGGTGGGAGCTTTTTTTGCAGGTAATCGAAGTCTGAGTGCGTCAGAACAGAAAATCGTAAATCATAAATAAACAAAAAAGCTATTATAAGCCCGGCTACATTAGAAAGACGGCCAATAATGCGAATGGATAAAAACCAAGCCAAATTTAAACTTGTACGAGTATAAACTAAAACCTGTAGAACGCTGTCCAATCTTACCAACCTAAAACCATTGAGGGTAATTTTGACGAAAAAATGATTTCAGGCCCTAATTTCTGGGTGTAGATGAAAGAAATCAGACTCAAAGCTAGCGCAAATATTATGTTCTGAAATATTTTACTATGCAGGGTGTTTTCAAAGGTGAGTCATTGATTTTAACACCTTGTAGTACTCGTCAAAAGAAGTTGATATAGCAAAAATCACCTGTATAAAAGTTGCACAATAAGAGTGTTAGTTTAAATTATTAAAAATTATTTAAAAAATCATTATCAAGAACTGTTCAAAATTGTCCCCATTTGTTCGATTAACGCAAAATCTTGCTCGGCGAATCCACGACCCTTTACAATCTTCGAAAATAAAATCCTGATGTCCATGAATTAAATCACAAGCATTTTCAGTGCACTGTTGAAGTTCTTCCAGAGTATTTATTGCTCCATCATGATGCACCAACTCTTTCAAATAGCCCCACAGAAAAAAATCGCAAGGCGCTAAATCCGGGGAGCGAGCAGGTCAAGAAATGGGTCCATTGCGCCCTGTCCATCTATTCGGAAATTCATTATTTAGATGTTCATGAACTTCTCGTCTAACATGTGGTGGCGCCGCAGCATGTAGGAACCACATATTCTGTCTCACATTTAGAGGAACATTTTCTAATATTTGTCGCAGATTGTGTCGAAGAACATCTAAATAAATTTGAGGTCAGTCGAGGTGGAAAAAAGTAGTGTCCAATAAGCATGCCATTTACCATGCCACCCCAAACATTTTATCAAAATCTATGTTGAAAATGAGTTCTTTTTACATCATGCGGATTATATACTGCTCAAGTATGATTGTTGTGGAAATTGTGCACCCCATTTCGTGTAAATGTGGCCTCGTCTGTACACAAAATTAATTTCGTAAAATCTTCATTTCTGCCGAACTGTTCTAAAAGCTACTGGCAAAATGCAACCCTTCACATCCGCGGGGCCGAATGACTTCTTAAAGGAAAGCTTTCCGCATACAATCTGCATGCTGCGGCTGCATTTTGTCTCCGTATGTTAGTATTATGCCCACTCACTGCTTTTATGAGCATGGGCAATTTTTTCGCACAAAATAATCAGACAAATTACAGTATATACGCACTATTAATAGACTGACACCACTGATCGCATCAAAGACTCTTACTGAAAGCCATACAATAACACAAAAAGTTTGACAAATACAGATAAACGATAAGAGCAGTAAACAAAAAACGCTAAGATCTTACACGGCAGTGGTCAAGAATATCAAAAAATCTGTGTAATAACATTATTTTTTTAAATTTTGAATCTGTTACTATTTCTTTTATTATCCAACTTTTATATAGATTTTTGGTATATAAACTCCTTTTAACTTGTCCTACAGGCAGTTAAAATAAATGACTCAACTTTTAAAACACCCTATATAATAGGTTGTTATTGAATGTTTGTTTTCGCAGGTTGAGCGTTATTTTCAGATTTCATTACTTCATAAGTTTTCGTATTGATGGATATTTTTAATCACTATACATTTTTATGTATGACTTCGAATTCCACAGCCCTACATAACGTCAAATGCACTAGCTGCCCGCACATGCGCGCCGCTACTCAAATGGGAGCAAATTCTAGAGTAAAAGGAGGGCTGCTACCCGTGAAAATGCGTATTTTCGTTAATTTTCTTATATATCTTCAGTGTGGCAACGTCGCGGCATATATAGAATCCGTTCCTTCTGCAAATGTCATGATTGAGAAGGCGTTTATATACCTTTTAAAACCTAAATAACATCAACAATATTGTGCAACTAATCCTTTTGCGGGCATTTTAAATCTCATTTCCATCAATTACAACCCAAACCTAGTGTTTATTCAGACGGACAAACAAAAAAAAGGTTCGTGTAGCTGAGCTAGAGAATTACTCATTACATTGAGTAACGTATTCTGCTTGAAGATAGCCAACCATATACTGAATTCTGGCTCTTAAAAAAGGATCTGAAAGATACCAGCGCTATATATTGGATGGTAACAGAGCATACAGATTAATTTAATAACTTAATTTGAAAAAATCAGAGTGTTTGATTATGCTACTCACTTTTTGGCACCGCTCTTATGCCTTTCTTTATACCGAAGCAACCGCCTTAGCAATGGTCTAAATACCGAGGCACCACAGCGACTAAAGGGTGCTTATTAGAGAGGCGGAAGTCCTAGCACCGTCTATGAGACGGTAGCAGAACCAATCACTCACTCTTTTCAAAGAAGACTTTTGTGTTTTCCTACTATCTTTCGGAATAGATGGCTATCTTCAGGTGGTAAAATACGTTAATCATTGGTCCGACGTAAATATGGCGCTATGACAATTCTCTACTACAAGTAACGACCCATCCCTTGAGTATTCCGTATTATAGAACCTGAATAACTGGGTCTCTCGAATTTTTTGTTACAAAAGTGTACATTTACAGGTACGTCAGCAAATCTCCTGGGTCGCAAGAAAATTGTACTTCTGACAGCTGTACCGCTGCTGATTGGCTGGTACATGATCGCTTTGGCCACTAATGTCAAGGTGCTCTATGCCGCCAGGTTCATCGCGGGTATGTCCAGTGGACTATGTTTCTCTACGGTGCCCATGTACCTAGGAGAAGTGTCGGAACCAGATATCAGAGGTAATTATTTACAGAATGTCAACAAAATTCAGTCAAGTTGATTGTCTTGGTACTTTTCACACATTTAACTTTGAAGAGGGGTGGCTGACTTCCTTTCTGGCTGCAAGATAGTCGTCGTAACTGACGGGTTCACAATGTCAACGCCGGTGTTCCCCAAGGATCGGTCTGGGCTCCAATATTGTTTCTAGTACATATCAACGACACCATTTCCTGTACGATCAGCCAAATCTACAGCTTTGCTGCAGGATTTCAAAATGCCAAGTGGATCTCTGCCGGTGAGCTTGAGTGACGAAGACTAGCAGCGGCTTCCTCTATTTTGAGAGATCTGGAGGTCATCAATCCTCGAAGACGCATTAATCTGGTACTTTCAAAACACAGAACTGCACATTGACTAGTTAGAGGTGCCCTAACGCTCATTCGATTTCAATGGATGGTCGAGTTCTACCAAATAGTCATTCGTTTCAGCTAGTATGAGTCGAGATCACCGAGGAGTTCTCGAACTAACACATCGCGGCAGCTGCTGGAAAAAATGCTAAGCTATTTGCTTAGGGTTAAGAAGTACTTTTCTGCGTTTAACCTCCTCACTCTGTACAAGATAAGACCTAACCTCGAGCACTGCTCACATGTTTCGGGTACTGCCGCCTAGACTACGGTATCAATCCTTCATGCTGCTCAGAGGAGCGTTGTCCGACTGATTGATGGTTCTTCTCAGACGGACAGTCTCACGACCCTTTCAACCGATGGGCCGTCGGCGATCTAGCTTTCTTCTACCGCTATGTGAAGAAGCTTTGCTCCTCAGAGCTCTCTTGCACGTTGCCGCCGAGCGATTAGCCTCCCGCTCAGACCTATTTGACTTCGGCCTCTCATCTTAACCGTGTCGAATTTCGTACATCCAGAACATTCGACTTTGCCACGATGGTGTCGATATTGAGTTAGCAGAAACTCTAAATGCAAGGTTTGGCATAATTAAGGTTTCTTGTTTTTCAATTATAAATCTGCCAGCAATAAACTGATTTTCAAAACCTATAAACCTTTTTTGCTGTTGGCATGATAGTTAGTAGTAACTCAAATCCATCAAAAGTACGTTACTTTTAGCACTACAGGAACGCCAATTTGTTGCCGACAGACAGACCGACAAAAATAAAGGGTGTGATTTAATGTAACCTACATAGCATCCAAAAACCATAGGCGACTATAATATTTTCTCCACAAGTTACGTGGAAAATAAAACATCAGCTACGTTATTAGTTCAGGAAGTACGCCCAATTATAACATTATGAATTAGAGATGTAACGAATGTCAATTTTTGGGCATTTGTGAATGCGAATATCTACTGCGAATACGAATGCGAATATTCAGTTGAAGGAGAGCTGACTGCGAAGCATTTATTTAAAGTCTATTATTAATCTAGCTCTGCTTGATTATTGGATTGCAGTTTTAAAGAAATAGGGGAAAGGCAATTCAGTGTCTAGTTTGTGAAAAGACTTATTACATTATTTATTTATTATTTACACATAAATTTAACAGAATATTCGTCGTCTGTATTTGTATTTTTTATTTTAATCAAATTTATAATCAAAGACTGCTAAAAGTAAAAATGAATATAATTTTGTTTGAAGTTTTATTATTCCATAATTACTACTGAAGTCGTTTTACACACAACCTCACTTCAATTTGCTCCGCTTATTACAAGTTATGTTTACCAAAGCTGAGGTCAACTAACTGACTGAGTGGAGTTTCTCCTCGCAGCGTTTGAGTTAAGTTCATGTTGTTTGCATGCAAAATCCACCGAATTCAAATTGTGAGATCTTTTAACTTTGCTTACAGTTATATTTTAGCGGCGGTCCGTATCAACAAACCGCAAAAATGTTTAGTCTTGAATGTTTCTTCAACTAGCCTTTATTGTTCCATTAAAAAGTTGTAATTTTTCGGGTTATGTTCTAATCAAGGTTAGTTCTGTTGTTCTTTTCGGACCCTAAAGTGAACCAGACGTTCACTGGTTTGACAGCCTTTGTTTGAGCCCTCTCACTTCACTAACAAAATGAAGGTAACTAATGTTTTCTTAGAGAAATGTCTGCTTGCTTACACCACCATTGTATAAAGAATAAAGGTTCTGTTTGTCAATAACCAAATATTCGTCTGGCAATAAAAATGATATTTTTTGTTTTATCCAAATGCTTAAGTACTATTATTTTCATATTCTGACATTCTTAGTCGCAAAATATTCTCATGAATTTCTGGTATGCGGATGCGAATGCGAATAATTGTTACATATTTATACATATTTAACCACATGAGGAATGAATGAATGAATCTTGAAATTAGAGGCATTCCGGCCACCATAAGGAGCCAGTGCATAGGCCGCTTAAGCGGGCCCTTATGCACATCTACAATCCTTAGATCACAAGCCTCGCCCTTTTAGCGAAGTTGAGAATCACCTTGAGTCCAAGCTCCTTGACGTCCTGAGGGTCCAAAGTAATGGACCCCAGTATAGTCTGCCTATAGTAGCTCAGAGCTTCACAGCGACACAAAACGTGCGCCGAAGTCTCTTCCTCTACCCCGCAGCGTTCACACAAGGGATCCTCAGCCACCCCATCACGTGCAGGTGACGCCTTAACGTGTTATGGCGGGACAACAGTCCCACCAGCAACCTTAGGTTGGCTCTATCCAGAGATAGGCAGAAGCGTCCATCCTTAGCACTGGGCCCTTCAATGAGTTCCCGTGCCTGGCGGAGATGTCTGGAGATACTTCTCCATTTCTGAGAGTGTTGTCTTGCAACCCACGTCTCCTTTTTCCTCCTAGCTTTATGCGCGGTCACTCTTAGAGCTGGCTCAGGACCAACGAGCTTACTGGCTGATCCTGTCTTCGCCAGAGTATCCGCCGTCTCATTGCCCCTTATCCCAGCGTACCCCGGTACCCATATCAACGATACCGGATGCCTCGCTGCGAGGCAATCCAGAGCCTCCCTGCATTGCAATACAAGACTCGAAGTAATCTTGCAGGCCCACCCTCCTCCAGAATGTGAGATACACAAGCCAGAATCGCAAAGATTTCCGCCTGGAAAATAGTGGTGTATCCACCGAGAGGCAGAGGTAGCCTAGTTCTAGGCCCAGAGACCCCAGCACCTGAGCCCTCTTCGGTGACCGAGCCGTCCGTGTACCAGACCTGCCCGCTCACTCCGGAGAGTCCCCGGCTACCGGCGTCCCACTCCTCCCTCGTTGGATACTCCACAATAAACTTGCGGTTGAAGCGATATTTAGGGGTAATACGATCACCCCTGCTTAGAAGGACGGGGTCCTCCCTTTGCAATTCGACTAAGATGGCAGTATGCCCCTTGACAGGATTCAAGAAAGCCCAGCTGCCCTGACTCCACAGTCGATGAGCGACTACTCTCGCTTCACCGCGGATCACCAGATCCAACGGTGGGAGATCCAACAGAGCTTCCATTGCACTCAATGGCGTTGTTCGCACTGCACTTGTAATACTAATACAGGCCAAACGCTGAATTTTATTGAGTTTGGCCTTAGTTGTCTCAGATCTAATGAAAGGCCACCAGACCAGGGAGCCGTACAAGAGAGATGGATCGTCGTGTAGAGCTAGTATACCACTTTGGGTTCAAGCCACCACCTTACACCGACAACACGTCTACAGACCCACATCGAAATGCGAGCCTTACTAACCTTGTATTCAACATGCTCTCTCAAGTTCAGTTTGCAGTCCAGGATAGTTCCCAGATATTTCACTGACTGGGACAATATTAATCTAGTCCCAAAGAAGGTCAGCATGACCTGCCCGTCAAGCCTTCTTCTCCTAGTGAATAGGAGCAGCTCGGTCTTTGCAGCATTTACAGAAAGATCGACTTCCCTACACCACGATTCCACAGAGCACAGAGCGCCCTGCATAATCTCCGAGACTGTTCTACAATTCTACAAAAACGCCCCCTAACTACTATGCTCACGTCATCAGCATAGGCTTGTACGTAGACACCCATACTGCTGAGCCTCACGAGGAGTTCGGTCACCACGATACACCACAGTAGGGGTGAAAGAACTCCGCCCTGAGGGCAGCCTCTAGCTACGCTCACGCTGCAGCTTACGTCATTCAGCATAGCTGTTGCTACCCGACCCTCCAGAGTAGATAGGACCCAATCTATTAGGAATGATCCAACCCCGTGTCTGACCAAGGCATGTCTGATAGAGTCGGTTATGGTGCATTTAAATGCACCTTCAATGTCCAAAAAGGCCACGAGTGCCACTTCTCGCTGATCTAGAGTCTTCTCCAGCCTATCGACCAGATTGTGTAAGGCCAGATCAGTCGATTTTCCAGCTTGGTATGCAAATTGATTTGCATGAATGACACATCTTTCCAGCGGGCCATCCCTTAAGTATCTATCAACTATCCTTTCGAGTGTCTTAAGCACAAAAGATTAAATAGTAATCGGACGAAAATCCTTCGGGCCAGTATATCTAGCTCTGCCCGGTTTAGGAATAAATACCACTTTAGCCTGCCGCCAGCTTCTAGGTGTGAAACCCGTGGCCACACATGCTCGAAACGCATTGAACAGGTGAGGAACATCCGAACTCCGTCCCTGCTGTAACAAGGCCGGAAATACGCCGTCCAGACCTGATTTTTTGTATGGAGCAAACGAATCTACTGCCCATACCGTCCTTTCGAAGGTGACAATCTCCCTAGCCGTGCGCCAGTCCTCCCCCGACAACTGCATGCACTCTGTGATTGATCGCGCTACTGAGCAACCGGGAAAGTGCGTATCCATCAGAAGTCTCAGAGTACAAGTCGGACACCTTTGTGTTCCTCCTTCCTCTCAAGTAGCCTCCACGCGCTGGGAAAAGTCCCAGGATTGTGCCTCTTGAGTCTCCTTATGATGACCTCGTTTCCCAGGTTGGGACCCGGGAACCAGGCCATCACGCGGTGGTATATGGGAAGGTCTCCAAAGCTCACCGTAATGAGGCTTGCGCCTTCCCACGGCCGCCGATCCCCCACGTGGGCCTCCAACCATGCCCTAGAGGATTCGTCCTCGCAGACAAAGACGGCTGCCCCTCGAGAGAGGTAGCAGTCAATGTACCTGGGAAGGGCCGCCTCATCAGGGAGCCCATCTATCAGCACACTGAGCGCCTCCTGGACCTGCTGTACCTGTATTTCAGTAAATTGAGTCCCAGGATAACCGTCGGACACGACAGCCACCCTGAGACCTGCTTGAGACGCACGCGCATAGCTAATTTGCGGATGCGTCGCAGTACGAAGCTACTTCCGCGAGGATGCGCCCTCCGGTGTCTCACCGGCAGACCTCTGCCGCTTCCCGTCGCCAGGCCGCTTTAGTGCCTCCGCTGACACACCAGATTGCGCACGGTCTAGCCCAGATGGCGGTTGGGTCCGTCCAGCCGGAGTCCCAGAGGTGGTGCCCCGACCTTCCGAGCCCTCCGTCATCTGCGCCTCTCTCCGCTTCCGAGCCCTTTTCCTTTCAGAACCTGGCCGAGACTTCTTCTTAATTTTTAGAGAGCCCACCCTTTCCGCTAGCTCTTTCGCTAAGTTTCCGACAGATTTCTCTGCCAGAGTACGATCAGGGTCCCCTGGTGAGGGGCCGCCTGGATGTTCGGGGTCCCCTGGTGAGGGTCCACCGGATTTTCGGGGTCCCCCGACCTCGGGGTTTTATTATTTTCTTCGTGTTCCATATTGTTCCCAAGAGTATAGGGGAAATGGTGGTCGACGTCCGCGGTGCCCCTACACGGGCGCAAGGCTGGAAACTCTGGGAGGTCGCCCGTTTAAGATGGTGCATCCCCACCGCCACGCACCCCTCGGCACGGAACACCTTGGGCTGGGTAAAGTACCATTGCCCATGATGACCGTTGAGCTGCAGACGTCCCAGATATACATCCGATTCACCTGTCGCTCAACGAATCATTCGATTGGCCGAGCTACCGGCTTTCCGGTGGGTCTCCTCAAAAACTGATCGAGACGGTCCACCGCAAGACCGGCACCCCGTTGCCCCCCCCCCCCCCTACACGGTCGCACACGGTTCAGCGGCCAAGGCCGCCCCACAGAACGAACTCGAGGAGGTACGGGTTGGATTTTGTAGAGGAGGATCTGAAACCACATTTAAATACCTTCCAACATTACTTTAGAGGCTCCTGACAATGAGTTATAATGCTTGTACAGCGGTCGCCTACCTGTCAGTGACCATGTCCAAGATCCCACAGAAATTCCGTTCACTCTGCTATGCTATATATACATGGAATTCACATGGCCGGATCCCAGACACAGTCACCGACCACTGTACGACCAAACATGTTATGTTTCCGCAGAAAATTTGTATAATGAAAACCATTAAAAAAATCATATAATGCATCCTGACTTGTTAGTGAATCTGGTGCATAGATGCCAAATATGATGTCAGACGCGAGGACCCATAAGTTGCACAGCAAACACAGAAAATGGAAATTTTTGATTTTCTGAAAGAAAGCTTTCAAGATATCATGCTTATAGGTGATCTATACATAAACCGGTCGCCTTGGTTAATCAGTTCCCTATAGATTTCAGATCCAATTTCAATTTAAAGTAGTACACACGGGAAGTCCCAAGCTACCTATGTCCTATGTACTACTTTGAACCCCAAATGCTGATCATGTTCATATTCAGCGCCATAGATATGTACAGGGTGACCGACGGGAACCTGACGTTTTTGAAATGAACAAACAGTACACAGTTAATTTTCACGGAATATTTTATTTTGATACACAAAATCGTTTGTCATGACATGCCATTTGAAGATAAGTATCACTTGTGGAAAATTACGTCAGGTAAGTGGTGTCCATCCTCCTGAATGCACTGTTCCAGCCTTCCCCGAAAATTGCTCATCACACGCGTCATCAGTTTACCATCAATTGCAGCCACTTCTTCACTAATTGCCTCTTTTAGTTCTGCCATGTGCGGGGTCTGTAAGTGTATACACGTGATTCGAGATACCCCCACAGAAACAAGTCACAAGTGTTCAAGTCAGGTGATCTCGGGGGCCACGGGAAGTCGCCAAAACGGGAAATTAATCTTTCTGGGAGCACTTGCATGGACTCACCAGCAGTGTGTACGGTGGCACCATCCTGTTGGAAATAAATATTTTCCAAATCCAGTTGCAGCCTGCGCAGTTTGAGATGCAAGAAAGTGTTTAGCATGTGGCAGTAACGTTCGGCATTCACTGTAACACTGTAACCATTCTCATCCTCGAAAAAATAAGGACCAATGCTGCCGAATGGAGTAGTGCGCACCAAACCGTTACACGCTCTGAATGTAGAGGCTTTTCGTGCACGATACGGGGATTCTCAGAGGACCGCGATTGGAATGCACACGAAAAAGTGGCTGCACGATAATAACAGACCCACCATTCTGCAAAAATGCGTTATACGCAAACATGCGATGCTCAACTGTCCACCGTTCCATAGCTACTGAAACGGCATCGAATGGCCAGATTAATGGCTTGTAATTCGGCTCCCTACCCCTCTTACCGGCAGAGTACTAGCCATCTCAAAAACGTCAGGTTCCCGTCGGTCACCCTGTACCAAGCGTAATCCGCTTGTAGCAAATCTAGGCGATAATAGTCAGTTTGGCCTACAATTATTTTGAGTTTATATTTTTAGGCATGCTGACTTCCCTAGCCCCAGTCTGCGTAGTCCTAGGGGTCCTCTTCATCAACGTAATCGGCAACTATCTTCCAATAGACACCACAGCCTATGTATCAAGCATATTTCCAGTAGTTTTCGTTCTCACTTTCATCTGGATGCCAGAAAGTCCTGCATACTTGCTCCAGAAAAACCAAACCGAGGCTGCCAAAAGAGCTTTGGTTTTACTGAGAGGTCCACAAGAAGGGGAGAAAGAACTCAATCGGTAGGTTATTCCAGATTATATTCAAGATATAGCCGTGTCTATATCTTTGACAGAAACCGAGATATTAGAAACGATGGAGATTTGATTCAAAAGGTCCAGAGAGTCTATACCTCATACGAAAGCACATCAACTATCCTCTATACGAGCTATGAGGCATATCTAAATAAGACAGCACTAAGCGCCACCTATTACCAGAATCGATCACTGCGATCGTTGTCCAAGAGTTCAAGCCTAGAGACCATTCTGATGTTTTCCTTTATCCTTATTAGGACCGCCAGGATTGATTAATTCTTTTATACATCCTCTGTAGGGGAGTAAGAGAGATAGAGCTAGCGCGCGATCTAAGCATGAGTGCAGTTTCGGACTTACTCTTTGTTGGTTCAGTTGCCAATAGAATAATTGTAACATTTAAATTCTGTTAATAACTAAAACTTTATTATAATCTTATTATGAGGTCATTAATTATGATTGATTCTTCGACCATCTACTACTGTAATATAAACTCCTTGTAAAATTATTTTCTACTTCTTAATTCGGGTAGCTATAAACGCGTGTTATTGTAGGTTTTTTAAACTATTATTTATTGATTATCATTATCTACCTAGGAGGAGAAGTGTATAGGAATGCGACAGATAATGGCAATTTCTCAGGTTATTAGTGGAAAAATACTGTTCACTTTATATTCTTTTCAGGTTACTAGAATACATGAAGACTGAGCCAGATACCAAAGTGAGCATCTACGACTTGGTGAAAGACAGGGTTACCAGACAAGCGGCTGTGGTAGCGTACGGCTTAAGGACTATTCAACAACTCTGCGGCATCACCGTCATCACATTCTACTGCAAAACATTATTCGAAGAATCCAAAGGAATCCTTTCTCCAAACATATCAACCATCCTCTACTTCCTATTGCAGTTGATATTCTCTTTTGTGTCGATTTTTTTTGTAGACAGGGTTGGAAGAAAACCATTGCTCCTAGTTTCACTTACAGGAGCGTCAACATCTCTGTTGGTCTTGACAGGTTTCATGTATACCCAAGATCACCTGAATATTGATGTAAGCAACTTACAGTTTATTCCGTTCTCATGTTTGATGATAAATGTTGCTTTTATAAGTGTAGGTGTCAGAGTAGTCCCGCTATTGATGATGGGAGAAATATTTCCAACAAAAATCAAACCTACAGCTGTATGTGTTGGTGCCATGTACTACAGTTCTATTGCACTGCTGGTTACAAAACTGTACTATATCATCAGCAAACAGTTTGGACAGTATGCTTCATTTTTGCTGTTCACTTTACTAGGCTACCTCAGCATACTGTTTGTGATTTTTATTGTACCAGAGACGAAAGGTAAAAACCTGGAAGATATACAGAAAGATCTAGCTGGGGATAGCCAAAGAAATTTGACAAATATAAGTATCGGAAAGAAGAAAGATGTTAATGACGAAGCGGGATTCAGTGGTTTCCACGGTGGAAGCACCGATAAAGTGGGTGGAATTAAGACATAAAGCAGACTGTTCTTTGTAGGATTAAGGAAATTATGACTGATATGGGAGTCAAAAGCATTGTTAACAATGTTATCAGGACCTGTAAAATATATACTGAGCTTCTATAAGTGGTTTTACGCTATTAAAAAAAAGTAATCTGAAGGTAAACATCTGGCTGAAAAATATGAGTCAGTAGCGGAGAAAATATATTTCGGTACATAAACGAAATATTTTTAGATCTGTTAAACTTCACTTCCACCCTTCTGAGTGATTGTTCATGCGTTAAGGAATAACTCAGTACCGATTTCTGAGTGACGCAGTCTTGCTTTTTCCTTCACAACGAAGGAATAAATGATGATGGATCGATCGATCGAGTCCACTCTCCATCCGGACATTCCGAGAGTGGAGTGAGTTTACGCCCAGAGTCGTTAGTCTCGAGAGATCAACATCGATGATAAAAGTTCCTTCACGAATGTTGGTACTGTTCATCACTATCTGCAGCCAAATCGTTCGACCATGCTTTTCTTGGTTGAGACCAAAATCTCCAATTTTGCCCCGACTAACCATCTCAACTTTCCTAACTACGAGGAGCACTCCAATTCATGAAAGAACGGGGGAATTGTGGCTGTTGTCCGCAGCAGTCTATTATAGGAGTTCCGTACTTTAATGTGCATGATGAAATGGTAGGAGTATGGACCGACAACTTTTCATATCTGAAAGAAAAAAAGTTCTAAATTCAATTTTTATGGACATATCTAATCACGCCAAACTACATATATCTTAGTTATCATTAAACCGATTTTGTTGAAATCCCTCAAGATAGCAAAGATACCTAAGATTACGTCAAACTAGACGGACAGTTGAAAAATCCAGTACTGAACTCAATTTTTTCACTTTTCAGTCTTTTATCAAAATCAACAACTTTCAAGCTGAATATAGATATTTTTGGCTATGAACAAAAAATCCAATAACAGATTCTAATCAATTAGCCAAACAGATTGATTGCGCCTTTTTCAGTTTTTCAGTTAAATTTCTTTGTTTATACAAATATCCTATTTTTAACAGTTTATGTGACATAAAATTTAAAATTTCAAGGGTTATCAATTTGGTTTCACCAACATTTTACAAAATAATGCCTAAAACTGAACTAAATGGAATCAGAATTCCAGGTCCGGATTCAGTTCCTCTGTGACCTTGTATTTTATTAACTGCAACGCCCTGTAAGTTATACTCTGAATTTATTGTTATTTTGCAGAGAAAATGGCAACACATGGTATAGATAACATAAAGGGAACATTAATGTTATGCACCCTATTTTCTTTTTTGGGTATTTTTTTTTCATGATTTAATTCTACCAACGACATGACTTCATATTGCATTTAATATGCAATTCTACTAAATTTGAACTATTAGAACAACTTGAAATTGAGTTAAAAATCCACAAAAACGTAATATGCAGAACCAGACTTGACAGTTAATTGTGTGCATATGTGCATTATGTAACTAAATCTTACATAGGATTGTGGTGAGAGCACGTAAACTTAACTATGCTGAAGATAGTGAACACGGACATGTATACTAGGTTTTTCTACGTCTTCGTCATACTCTTGACTTAGTCTGGAGAGCCAAATTCGGTGTATTTGCCTACTAAATGCCGTTTACCTTTGAAGCAGGACTCATGTTGTTATCTAACAAAAGGTAGTATAATTAAATCATTAAAAAAATACTGAAAAAAACTAAATAGGTGGCATAACATTATATTCCTTTTCCATTTGATCATCGTGATTTGCTCTTTTTTCCGCGAAATAATAATAAATTCAGAGTATACCTTATAGGGCGTTCACTTGACAAAATACAAAAAAAAACTGGATCCGACCCTGGCATTTTGAGTTTCCAAAACACCCTTAGTGCAATTTTGAGAACTACTTTGTAAATAGATGATGAAGTTGTAGAAATTTTGAGTTTCCTGGCACATAAACTGCTATCAATCCATTTTGCTACTTAATTAGTATCATTCATTCTCTCATCTTTTTTATTCATAGCTTAACATTTCTATATTCAGCCTAAAAGGTGTGGTTTGATAAAAAGCAAAGTAAACAAAATCTTATCCGGCGCAGGATTTTTTAATTTCCAGTCTAGTTTCAGGATACTTTTAGGTAGCTTTGTTATTGAGCAAAATTTCAACAAAAATTACTTCACATTAAAGATTTGTCCTGTTTAGATAAATACAGAGTATATCCATAAAAACTGAATTAAGAACTTTTTCTTTTCATATATGAATAGGTCTTGGTCCATACTATCTACCATTTCACTATGTTCATTTCAGTACGGAACATTGTAAATCTTCTAGCATTACAATTTTTGTATTACCAGAATCGTGCATGGTGCATGGGTCAGAAAATAACGACAATTTAAGGAATTATGAAAAAAGTTTAAAGATATCTATTGTAAATTTTTGCGGGAGTTATTTGGAATACGGAAATAGTATGTCGAAATCTATTAGAACATCAGCTTTTTAAAACTTTCCAGGTAAAACTATTATTGGATTAACCTTGTAAATTTGATTCTCTATAGATGTATCTCGATTCCAGTTATTCAACAATAAAAACTGAAGTAAATTGTTCAATTTTGCATTTGTTATTTTCGAGTAAAACACCTTAATGTAATCCATCGTCAAGGTTTTCCGATCTTACTCAAACATCATCTGAGAACGATATGCCACAATATTGAGAAACGGATTCATGCTGTAGTAAATGTATCTTATCAAAACTTAACTTTTTCTGCTAGAATCCACGTGTTGAATTTTGTCTGATGTAAATTTCTTAAATTATATTGTTATGATAAAAATGAGTCGTGTCGATAGCAACCATACAGAACGAGACCGTGGCAAATACTTGTTCCGAGAGTTGTTACACTCAGTATACAACTTAGTCCCGTGCAAGTGATTGCACGCGTGCTAAGCAATAACAGCACCGATCGCCAGGTGGCGGTGCAAGCCCGCGGTGGTAGCTAAGGACTTCCTTTCCCTTTCCCTTCTCACCAACAAATGATGATGGATCTTGGATCCTTCGAGTACTAAAAATTGCGGATGTAGGTTCACTTCACTCTCGGAATGTCCATATAGAGGGTGGTCCCAAGGTAAGAACATCGATGATAAAATCTCCTTCCCCATCATCTGCGGAATTAACATCAATACTGATGCTGTTCCTGTTTCCAACACCAGACGATCCCTCAAATTTATCTGCTCGCTCCACCACTCTCCCTTGGACCATAGCTGGGTGACCTACTTGAATACCCCGCTGTCAAGATCAACATCTTAAACATCAATCACCCTGCTTCAGTGGTAGTTCTCCTCAAATCGTTCAGCTACGCTGTTTTTGGGGGAAACCTAAATCTCCGATTCTGCGCCGACAAACCATCTTAGTTTTCCGAACTAATAGTTAAACTCCAATTTGAGAAAAAACGGGGAAGTTGTGGCTTTTGTCCTTAGCAGCCTTTCCTACGCCAAAGATGTTTCTTTGGAATCGGGATGGAAAGACATTGTGGCTTCTAGGCAACTCCAAATTTGATTGCTGCCCCTATAGCTCTCCCTCTGACGATATCTGCTTGAATACATCGCTGTCAAGATCGACTTCTTGAACTTTAGCCACCCTGCTTCAAAGGTATTTCTCATCGATGATTTCATGCCCATAATGAGTTTTGGTTGGACTCAAACGAAACCGATGCAGCAGGTCGTGCAGTTGAAGAGTTCGCCATTACTCTAGGACTGACCCAGCTGATGACGAGCTCTCCGTGTTTTGTCACACGTCGGTAGTTTGCTCGACCTTCGATATAAAAAAAAATAAAAAATAAAGGAAAAGGAACTGTTCAACAATATGAACTACGACATTGTTTGAGCTTCAGTAAAAATAACTCAGGGTAGGCGTTATCGATTAAATATGTCGTCATGACTATGATAAACATGTACTATACGGCACGGACAATTTTGATACACCACTTGCAGGTATTTCTAAAACATAAAAGTTGCAAGTAGGATGTTTTGGAAAAGCCACCGGCATTTGGTGCGTGTCTGTTTGGCATCATTCCAAGGTTTTGTATGATGTCTGCTCTGGGAATCCTACCCAAATATCTGACCGCGGTGTTATTGCACTTGGAATCACAAAGGTAAATACACAAAAAACGTCACCGAAAATACCTTGTAAGAAACAAAACTCGTTGCGTGTTCAATTTCTGAATTCATACCTGTAT